GAGTGGGTGGGAGGGTGAGTTTCTCTCAGCACGTTCCGAGGATGGACTGCCCTGCCCCTGCCCTTGTGTGATCCCACCCCTGGAGGTGAGGTTTCCTCCTGGGCCCCAGCCTGCCCCTGCCCACCCCCAACAAGGAGCACCAGGCCACTGAGTTGCTGAGTATTTATTTGGCCCCAGAGGAGCAGTGCAGGAATGAGACTGGGACAGGATGGCTGATCCTGTGTAGGGCGAAGGGGACAGTCCGATGGGATCACTGATTGTCAGAGCAGAGCGGGGGGACCCTGGGTGGGTTGGGGGGAGGCCACACTGCTCCCCTCCCCAAGGGGTCCCTGGGGCTCCTGGGTGTGTGTGCTGGGAAGTTGGCAAGTTATCGTGATTGGCATAATGGGGGCGAGACGGCAGGAATGGGCCAGATGGTTGGGGTGGAGGGGTGGGGTGCGGGTTAGTGCTCAGAGAAGGCTTAAAGGTGGGCCTGGGCGTGGCTCTGGCCAGGAGTCCGGGGTCAGGGCTGTTGAGGTGGGGTCAGGGCACAGGCAGTGGCCTCACTCGGTCAGGGGGCCGCAGCGAGTGCCACTGGGCGATGGGCCGGCGCGGGTTGGCCAGCATGTCGGACCAGTGCCGCAGCTCCGTGCCCGTGGCGTTGCTGCCCACGAAGATCTTGCCGATGGCTTCGTTCTTCCCCAGCTTGTCGTAGTCCAGCACGGTCAGCTCCACCTGCACCTTCTGGGGTGGGCAGAAGGGGAAGAGGAGACAGTGAGAGGGGCAGGAAGAGGATGTTGGGGGACCGGCTAGAACTGTAAGAAATATGGATCCGGCCCTATTCACTATGATGGCTTTGTTCTGGTTAAAGAAGGCACATCCTCACCTGGCTGGGAGGTCAGGGGACCTGGGAGCTCACCGGGGGAGGCAGCCCATCCTCCCTATCAGGGAGCTGCCTATTAGCATGGAAGATGGACAACCTTGTTACAGAACCAGAATCGCCAGCCCTTTGAAGCCCCCCAGCCTTCTGCTTAGCTGTGAACTGCCCCTTTGGCACACCCTTTGGCTACGTCCCCATGTAACCTTCATCCTCCCACCCAATATAGGCAGCCGCCTTATGGAGGGGGCAGAGCGGATGTCTGTGGCGGATCTGCTGCTCTCCCTGCTGCCGGCAGGATTGGAATAAACGCTCATACTGATTCACCCCTGTCTCCGCTGAATTGGCTCACGGAGTGACAGGCAGCGCAGACCCATTGTTTGTCCAGTTACAACAGGAGAATGAGGGTTGGAGGCACCAGGAGGGACTCCCTCAACGGGTCCTGGGGTCCTTGTTAGGGCCCTGGGTTAAAACCCACCTGGAGCCCTAGCTGGTGTGGCTCAGTGGATAGAGCGCCAGCCTGGGGACTAAAAAGTCCCAGGTTCGATTCCAGTCAAGGGCACAGGCCTGGGTTGCAGGCTGGATCCCCGGTGTGGGGTGTGCAGGAGGCAGCCGATCCATGATTCTCTCTCATCAGTGATGTTTCTATCTCTCTCTCCCTCTCCCTTCCCCTCTGTAATTAATATATATATTTTAAAACCCACCAGGAGCTCGGGCTGAGGGGAGGGGGGTAGGGTGTGAGTGGGAGAGCCCTGTGGTTGGACGGCGGCTCTACAGTCATTCTTCCTGGGAGATTAGACTCCATAGGGGAGAAACCCTCAGGCCCTCATTGCTGAGGGATTGTTAGGGGCCTCCTTAGGGAGCTATCTCCTAAGGGGAGGCAAAACTCCAGGAGTCATAAAAATATACCATATATATATAAAATTGATTTTTTTTTACAGAGAGGAAGAGAGAGGGATAGAGAGTTCGATGAAAGAGAAACATCGATGGGAGAGAAACATCGATCAGCTGCCTCCTGCACATCTCCCACTGGGGATGTGCCTGCAACCAAGGTACAT